AGGGTGCTTACATACTTACACACAGGTAAGAGAAAATACACAGTTGTCACAATTTCTACATATTAGCTTTAAGTCAATACCTGAGTTGTCTTTCTGTTTATGCCCTTATAGTGGATTTCTGCATTCAGGTAAGAGGAGCATCTAATTGGACTTATACTATGTTAATGTCCAGTTTGCCTTGGACAATACTACTGTGATGAGAAACAGAAGATAAAGAGTGGGGGAAAAATGGAAAGCGTATATGGGGAGTAAAAATAAAAAAATTTAAGGGAGAAAATTTAAAGGAAGTGGAAAACATACAGAAAGAAAAAGAAAAGAAATAACAGTCAAGGAAGAAAGATAAAGGAAAATTCTCTAATCCCAAATAAACTAGAAGAAAGGAAGAAAGAAGACAAAACAAAAGAAAAATCCCTAAAATGATGTACATATTCACAAATAAAACAAAGATACTGAAACCCAAAATGAATAAACAAACAAAACAAAACAAATAAAAAGAAATGGGTCTGTGTTTTTAGATGTGTGGTTTTGCCCTGGGATCTTCAATTTTTGGGACAGTGTCCAAGACAAGATATGTCACTGGCCATGATGGTAAATAAAGAAGGCAGTCAGATGCCCACTCTGTTAGATGCAGGCACCAGCAGGCAGTAAGATAGAGGTGAGGGTGTCAGTGCTGGGACTTTCAAATCCAGGGCAATTCAGGGTGAGCCTGACCTCTAGCCATAGACGATGGACCTGTATTTTTTAGCACAAAACCCCAAAGGGGTGTTTTTCCAGCCTGACTATGGCTCACTGACTACACCTGTCTCCTGTGACTTCTCGCTTACCTAGCTACTATGGGAACATAACACTGGGTACCTTGAAGCAAACCAACCCATGCTTGGTCTGAGTGAGGAAAAAATGGCAAGCAATCAGTCCTTCCCTAGAATGTTGTCTGAGCAGTCTCCACAGGGATATGGTGGGCACTTGAACTGGTGCCACTCACCAGTTGCTGCCCACCGTTCGAAGGGCTCACAGGGGGGCAAAGTCCCCCACTTTTCCTGCAGCCCAGAACACTCACCAGTCCATTCCCCACTGTGTTCCCCTGAAGCCTTCTGGAGTCCTCAGCTTTCCCTTTGTCTCTGCAGATTCACTCTCCCTTTCCTAAGAGCCAGCACCCAGTACTTGGAAGAAAGTGTCAGGTTGTCCTTCTCCTTTTCTGCCTCATGTTCTTTTTTTTTTTTTTTTTGGCAGAACCGGGGATTGAACGTAGGCCCTTGTGCTTGCCAAGGAAGCACTTATTCCACTGAGCCATCTCCCTGGCCCTCATGTTCTCTTTTCAATTTGTCTACAGACTATTTTTCTTGTCAGATCTTTCTGGTTCCTGGGGCTCTACTATCTCTCTCTCTTCTTGCCCATGTTGTATTTTCCTGTGTCAGGATTCTGGATCTCAGGGAGGCTGAGTTCTTGTTCCTTACCATTTTGTCATTTTCCTTGAAGTCCCAGATCTGATTTTCATTATTTTCACCAAATAGATTGATATTACTTTTATTTTGTGGTACTAGGGATTGAATCCAGAACTCTTGCATGAGCTACATAGCCCTTTTGTTTTCAGACAGCAAGGATCTTGCTTGCTAAGTTGATAATATGTCTTGGCTAGACGGGAACTTGCAATTCTGCTTTAGCCTCTCAGAGTACTGAGATTATAGCCATGGCCTACATGCATGTCTTATTATTTTTCTAAATGAAAACAAACAATTTTGATTTTTTTTTTTTTTTTAGAACTGAGAATTGAACTCTGGTCCCTGTGCTTGCTGGGCAAGCACTTATTCCACTGAGCTATCTCCTAAGCCACTTGATTTTCTTAAGAAAACAAATAAATGAGCATTTTATTTTTATGCCATTGTTTTAATTTCTAGTTTCCTGAATGTTTTATAATGTTACATTATTATTTAAGGAGATATTTTTACATACATTTGATTATAATCTCAAGAATTTTATAAAGTACACATATTCAAGAAATCTACTGCACCTGTCCTAGAAACAGATTTTCAGAAATACATGTGTTACTTGAGATAGGGGATTAGGGTGTGTCAAAGCTGGCTAGAAGTAGGCATGAACTGTTAACTGTAGTATCCCAGACATAGGTGTAGAACTGTTCCCAAAGCTCTCTACGTGGACTTCTCTTGAGAACTTGAATGGATTTTCAACAGCCTAGTCTAGACTTGATGTTAGGGGGACATTAATTGGTTTTCAGTTTTAGATTTAAAAGACATTTTTGGGGCTGGGGAGATGGCTCAGTAGGATAAGCGCTTGACTGGCAAACACAAGGATCTGAGTTCAATCCCCGGTTCCGGAAAAAAAAAAAAAAAGACATTTTTCTCTATTCCTCTACCTCTAGACTCCCAATTTCTGTTTGCCTTTGAATGAAAAGAATCCCATTTCAAGAAAAAAAGCAGCAGTCTACCTGGATCCCAGACATATGCCCAGAGTGGTTCCCAAAGCCCTGCATGTGGACTTCTCTCCAGAACTGGAACAGTTTTTCAACAGGGTGACCTAGACCTGGCCTTAGCCTGAAGCTGGGATCCCATTGAATTTCCTTTAAAAAGTGATACTTTTATAAGAAATTAAGTTTATCATTTACAGTGATAATTTACTAAAATGAATCTGTTTAAAATGGATATTGAACTAAAAACCTGGGCTTCTGTAGGATGTATACATTATTATATCATAAACATAAAGCAAAAAATGCAAACCAAAATGTATATTATTTATCCACACATACATATGTAGCAGAGGAGTTAATATATCCATACAAGTAATTCATGTCAATTTCTTATCGCTGTTCTGGTGAGAGAGTAAAATGGGCTTGGAAAGGGTACACAGGAGACCTCAAATGTTATATGACTTTGAAAACTGAAGAGCCAAATCAAATAAGGCAACATACTGAGGCTGGATGAGGCAGGATGCTAAGGGAAGTGGATACATTAGTCTCAAAACTTCACATCTGAAATAAATCTTTCATCACAAGTAGTTTGATATTCTCAGGATTCCTAACTATTGCCTCTGAGACATTCAGTATTTAAATATATGTAGTTTCTGATATAGCTGAATGAAGTAATATTGATTGTGGAATTGCAGAGTAGTTTTTGTACTTCAAAAACCTTTGCGCTTCATTGTTTGGCTGGAGAATATGGCAATTAGGAGAGGATGTTTGAGCTGGGTTTTGATGGATGCATAGAAGTTATCTAGGGCAAGGGGAAAAAAAGTAAGAATAGCACATTGAAACGTATGAAGTAATGTGACATATAGGTCAATGAACTATAAATAGACTTTTTTTGAGATTTATAGACAGCATTATTATGACTTCTATTTGATATAACTGGCTGTACACTCAGAAGAAAGCTCAATATATTCAAGAGGTTGGACTCTACCTGGTGGGAATGAAGGACAACTGCCGAAGGGCTTTGAGATGGCTATGGGTAACAATCATACTGCCTTTTATGAAATCACTGTGGTATCGGCACAGAGAGTGTGGGGCACTGAAGAGATAGAGAGCATTTAAACTTGGGTATTAATCACACTCAGACTAGAGATAAAGAGCTTGGATGGCCACAGCGAGTAGCCTGGGGATGGAGGAAGAGAAGTCAAAAAATGACTTGGCCAGTTTGTGGACAGTGCTGAGCAATGGAAAGGAATAACATGCAGACACACACAACGATGTAGAAATGGTGTGCTAAGTGAAAGAAGCCAAACATAAAAGACAATGTACTGTATAATTCCATTTGTATAATTTTCTAGAGAAACCAAACCTATAGTGACCGAGGACAGGTTAGTGGTTGGCTGGGGACAGGGTAGTGAAATGAAATAAATTTTAGGGAGAGGGAATTTTTTCCTATCTTGATTGTGGTTACATGCTGCATAAAATTATGTTCATCAAATGCTACTCTTAAAATGGGTGCATCTGATTATATGTAAATAGTGCCTTAAACTTTAAGTGAAAAAATGAGGTAATGATATCAAAAGATTTAGCAGACAGAATCCACACTGGCTGTGTGTCTAGAAAAGATGGAAAAACAAAACAAAACTGAAAATATCCTAAGAGAACTAAACTAGTTCTCAAGCTATTTTCTAGTAAAAGAATTTAAAGCCATACAAAAGTTGATACAATGATATAATGAACCTCTATGTGCTCAATGTTCAGTTCTAGCAAATGTCAATTTATGGCAAATTTTATTTCATTTAAACCTCATACTTTCCCCCGGCTCCTCAGTTATTCTGAAGTAAATGACAGACATGTATAATTTGAACCATAAATATTTCATATAAATCTGTATGAATAATGACTCTAAAAAGATGGCCACAATGCCAACTGCATACCTAAAATTAATGATAATTCCTGAATGTCATCTACTATTCAGCTGGACTCAAATGTCTTGCTGTTTCACAAAGTTGTGCATTGTCATTTTAAGAGTTTGACCCAAAATCCAAATAATGACCATATATTGTGGCTGATGTATCCTTTAAG